TATATATATAATAAACTATATTTTGAAATTTCCTATTCATTTTTCATTCTGAGAAACTTTAAATTAGAGAAATAAAATTCTTACATAAAAGTTTTTATATTTATAATTTAGTAAATTTTATTTTTCAATATTATTATTACTTCATTTAAAAAACAGACTGTTTATACTTTAAGTACTCGTATGAATCATTAAATATCCGAAATTTCAGTCCATATATCTCTCTTATACACGTCATAACAAATATTATATTCATTTTTCTCAAGTTACAACTGTCTTTTGATAAACTGTTGATAGATATTTTGTGTACAGGGTACATATAATAAATTAAGTAAGTGTTTACAACACTTCTGTTTGAGAAAAATAATGTCAGGCATAACAAATTATTGCTAAGTTATTATATTTATGATTTGTTACAATATAAACACGTTTATTAAATTATTTTTTATTGTATATTCGAAAAATATTAAATATTATTTTATAAATTTAAAATAATTACTTAAATCCTGCACATAAAATGTGATGCAATTGCTCAATTTTATGTTTTTAAGAAGAGAATTACGGTAACTGCAAAATATTTATTTTTCTAATCTCTTTCTGTTTTGTTAATTAAATGAAATTAATTAAAACATTAACAGTTGCATATGATCCTAGCTAAAAATAAATATTTATAACTTAAATATTATAATTTTTCTTAAGATATTAACTATTTTTATTATTAAAGTAATGTACGATTATTATTTATATAAGACAAGTAAAATTGAATTATTTGTGAATTTTAGTATATCCATTTCATGATTTTTTCATGGAAAAAAACAAAATAATTGTTTTAAATGTTTCTTTAAGAATTTACTCTTTTAAGAATTTACAATCTTCAATAACTGAATTAAGCCCTAAAGACACGTGGAAAAGAAAACTTGACAGTATTTAGAGGGCAAATAACTAGAAGCTGTAACGCGCTAACGTTATATGTAACTATGACAACGACCTATTTGGACAATGTCAATATAAATATTTGCTCAAATGTCAGAAAGTCATAGAATGAAAAGAGTTGTTTTGATTAAAGTAAAGCTTTGACGAATAAATACTAAAATATACATTATTAATAAGAAAAGAAAACGTTACATTTACTCATTTAATGTCCTTGATCATAAATTGTAACAATTGATACTGTAATGATTCGAAATTTTCATATTATTACCATGAAATGGAAGCATTACAAAGTAAGGCAATAATAATAAAAATCAGAAAAAGAATCATGTTTCATAGCCAATAAAAGAATTTTGATACGCAATTGAAATGATAATAAATGAGGAAAATAAAAATTTTCTTAAGGTAAATTCATTTGAAGAAGAAATCAGTTATATATATATACTGCCTAAAATAAGCATTACCTTCAATGAGAATTATCATATTAAACTCGTTATCTAAATTATTATTACCCTTGGAAAAAAAATAAGTATTTTATTATTTATTTTATTAATCCGGTCTTGCAATAGATTTTACAAGAGATCGATACAGCAAATGCATAAACGAAATTTGTCTGTTTTCTCACAAAAGTTTATTGTATTATCTATAAACAGTAATTTTTTTGGTGTCAAAATGCTTCAGAATTCGTTTTGATGGATGTTCATAGCTTTTTCCTAAAATAAATATGCAATGCTTTGAAATGTGTTTCTGGAATATATTCAAGTACATCTGAAGTCTTTAGATATATATGAGTTTTGATATATCGTTTAGAATACAAAACAGCTCTAGAATCTAACCTAAACTCAAAACTGTGTTTCAAAGTTAATTTTATAATAAACTCTAGTATACAAACCACAGTTATCAAAAAGAAAACAGGCTACCAACGAAAAAAAATAAAATAAAATACTTGGCTCCAGCCAACATATCACCTGATTAATATTAACTGTTCCCAGGATAAAGTTAAACGATCCTATATCAAGACAGGATAAGTGTGTCCCGGTAGCATAGTTGGTTAATGCATTCTGCATGAATCCAGAGGACGTAGTTTAGCCCGCATTGGGAGGAAACTCATTTATTCTGCCAGAGTCATTGTTTGTTTTCTTTGGGTGGACATGCGGTTTATATATTAGGTGTTACTTTTTTATTAATAATTTCCAATTAAGATATAAGAGTCATCTCAGAAATACAGCTTGTTATATATAATGTGTTTAATTGATAGACAAATAACAGATAATTCAGCTTAAACTAACTCGTAAGTAAATAATCAATAGTTATGTATCAAAGAATAAAAAAAATAGCTCGTTGTTAATAAGTGTCAATAAAGTCCCAACTATTTTGAATCTGTTTTTCATTTTTTAAAGAAATTTAAAGCATTTTGATCTCAGAAATATATAAACAATCTAAGTAAACAGAATAACTTCTGCAATTAATTTTAGTAATATCATCAAATTTCAGTCTTCTATTTCTATAATTTTTTCTTAATGTATGTAAGGAAATGTTATTGCAGTCTTCAGATTTACTATCGTAATAAGAACAAAACAGAGTTAAATCTTTACCCCCTTTTATATTTTTGTCTTGTATTCACATAATAAATAACGTGTATACAAGACAAAAATATAAAGTACAAACTAAGTTTATAAATGTAAGTATAATATAAGAAAAACTATAATTTCAAGAGAGTTATGAAATTATTTCAGTGTATTTAATTAATTATAGCTTGGGTTCTTAGATAAATAATAATAATAATAATAATTCATTAAAAATATTTTTATAATATTATTTTGAGAATTTTTAGAAAATTTTCATATTACTTATAGTTCACAAGTTATATTTATGCTATATATCAAACAACTTTAAAATTGTCTTGTAATTTTAGTAAATAATTTTTAAATAGGTGTACTGTATTTAAATTTTAGGTTAGAATAAAAAAAATTTAAAATATATAAGTGAGAGATTTATAAAATTATTATTTTTTAGTTTAAAAAGTTTTAAAATGTAGTCATATAAAGTAAACTACTAATGTAAATATGACGTTTCTCTATTAAATAAATGGTTAAGATTGATTATAGAAACGTTATTTATTTTAATCTTAAAACATATTTAAAGAATCGAAGAATGAAGGGAAATAATTTTATTTTGGCTTTAGATAGAATTCAAGTCCAATATTATTTTATGTACTTGTTGTTTATTAAATATAATATAAATTATATTTTGAAAGTATAAATTTTATAAAATATTTCATTTTAATCACATATATTAGGCCTATATATTGTAAGGTTTAATATGATTTTTCAGAAGATTTGAAAGCTTTTTTTTTTCTGTTAATAGGGAAGACGACATCCAGAAGGGGAACCATCTCCAGTGACAGCTACTATCAAACAGTTTCCTTTGAAAGCACCTCCACCTTCACCAGCTTGTCAGCCACAGACTCTAGAGTTTCCTCCACCCCCACCTAACATGTTTGTTCCCAAGGTACCGCTTAAACCTAATACTATTCAGCCAAAAGACCACGCCGAGGGACATGTTCTGTTTTCGGCAGGAGGTGCAAAGCCATATGGACGTCAGACAAACACCCAAGAGATGAGAGTTTGACATTTTCACTGGTGAAATAAAAGTAACACGTGCAATAAGCCAGTTCGAAAGCCTTCCAAGAGAGAATGAGGTCTCCGAATAAATGGACATGTGATTCCCATGTGGAAATGCAATTTGAGGGTCGAGAACATGCGAAAAGGGAGAAAGAATATAGATCATAATGTATGTTGTGTAAAGTCAGGAATTTGTAAAGTGATCAGAAATAAAGACCTTCTTAGTATGGTTGGATTTTTATTTTCCTTTTCTTAATAATAATAATAAAAATGTCAAACTTTTATTACTTTTTTTAAAAAATTACGGCATAGAAATACCCAGCATCATAATCGAATTTTGTTATTATTCAAAGGGTGTTGTTTGAAAATCGATCTGGAATGTTCTCAAAACTCAATATTTTTAATATAAAAAGTTTTTAACTCGTAAAATTTTATAATTTTTTTTCCCTCTAAAAGTTATACAAAATTCTTACGTTTTTCTAATCATAAATTGACCTTCATAAAAATTTGAATTAATAGAAAGTAATAAAATAAAAAAAAATCAACTAAAATTTAAGGCTCAACATTCCATTTACACTTTAAAAATTATTATTTTTCTAATTCTAATTATAAACTATTTTCTGAAATAGTTTTGTTAATATGAAATATTTAAATAACAACAAAATATTTTTAAAAACTTTAAATTTATTCTTTATTTTATAACAAAAATCGGTAGTAAAATTTAAAAATTCATTCATTTAGGACTGTTAAAGTATAATTTTTAAGTAATTAATTATTTCAAAATGTGATATTTTTTATAATAAAATTAATGAACTTTTGGTTTCAAATTACATAATGTAAAATCAAAAATTTGAATAATGATTTTTACAAAATGATGATATAAATTTTAAATATAACAATAAAAATAATTAAATTAAATTAGATTGAAAAGCACGTAACATATCTTGATTTAAAATATTAATATACCAATTTTATTTAAGTTTTATTTCTAAATGCTATATAATTGTTTATTTTTAATAACAATAATAAAATACCATTTTAATAATTTAAAATTAATTATATACTATTTATATAATTAATAAATTTTCTAAAGTTTCTAAAAATAGTAAAGCATTCAATTTACTTTTTCGTATTTAAAATCGATTTAAAACTTTAACATGATTTACATGTTGCAAAAAAAGGAAAGAACAGGAGTAACAGAGATATCAGACTAACATAAAGATTGAGTTACATTGTATGAAGAATAGAATTTCTGGCAAAGAAAAACCGGAAGTAGTGTGACGACATCTGTCGTATTTCCGAATCACGTCACGTTTACGAAAGTAAGGAGTTATTTAGTTGGACAGGAGAACGAGAGCACCTCTCTTCTTGGCTACTCTCATTCTCAAACACTCTACTACCGATCGATGGCCTTCTAGTTCCGGTCTGTTCCTCTTCTGATTCCGATTCTGTCTAGCATGCCATATTCTTTGACAGCCGATGGTTTCAAATCAACCGAATGCGTACAAGAGGTTGGCACTAACTTTATCCCAAACTTATCCTTTTGCTATAATATACTAAGTTATATAACATATGCTTCGTTGAGATATATAATATTTACATTGTTACCAGTTTATCTAGAAAGAAGAGGGCATTAGTGGTTGTTTGTTGTGTCTATTCACCTACCTTTTTATGTTCTAGAGTCATACATTCATCATTATTTTATCTCATTCTACTCCATTCATCGATGAACACTTAACTTAAATTGCTAAATGAAGACTTAACGATAATAAATGGAGTATGGAAACGAAAGTTTATGTATATATAACTCTTTTTTTTATTTATATAAATCATTTATTAATTTAATAATTATAATCATCATTCTTCTGTAACCATCGTGAAAGATGTTAATGTTAATCATAAGAACAGAATTGTTAAAGGTTAAAAGTAAACAATTTAAACGCATAACAACTTATTTTTATCATGTAGGCCTAATACCTTATTTGTTTTTAACAAATAATTAATATCTAAAGAACATAAACAGCATAAAAAGTAAATAGAATATTTACTTTTTGAAAATCTGTTAGAATCAATAAATCGATTTGAAAATCTTAATTATCTTAATAAAAAAAATATATTTTTCTCAGATTTTCCGGACTTAATCAGAATTAAGAGTTAACTTTTTAAAATTATAATTATAGCACAATCTTTTAAAAATATAACGATTTAAAATAATATATCATTTAATTAGAACAATTTATAAAGCTGATACTTAGAAATCCTTTAAGAAGTCTCTTAAGTATAGACAGATCTATTTAATTAGACGCGTGTCAGATGGAGATAAATGGTAACCCTACTGATAGGTCCCGATTTACCCATTAAAAGAACCAGATTACCCTCGAGAATTTCAGTCCCATACAATTGTCCTGGGAGCATAATTATGCTAATTAATGAAGAAGAAGTATATTTTAAGCCAACCAGTCTTCCTAGCAATAATATCATTCAAGTATGAACATTGATCTTAAAGAAAGAAGAAATGGAGTTAGAGAAAGAATTACGCTCTTCCTGGATGCCATTAATGTCAAGTAAAGGTCATATAGTATTCCACTGACCTTATGGGACTTATTGTGGTGGCGAAAGAACTCTTCCGTTTGGTTAGAATTGACTCCTAAGACCGAAGATACGCTATGATAAACTTTGAGCCACCTGAATGCTTTTCTTATTGGCATGGCTGCCTCTAATGTTTCGATGACCCTTTATTCTTTCAAATCCTCTAGCCTTTTGTAGCATTTAAATATTTGAAGCTTTAAACTTCCTTGACTATTTTTTAAAACTAAGTTGTTTTACGAGTGTGTTACATTGAATTCATATATGAAAATACATAGTTAAACACAATGAAATTTTAAAATATTAACATGTAAGTAAATATGAAATGATTTAAGTTATATGCATTATAAAGCAGGATATAATTTCTAAACTCTGTTTATTGTTACTTAATCACATTGTAATATTCCAAAAATATATTTTACAACATTTCTTTTTAATTACAAATTTCCAATTTTTTTCAAATTGTATCCTTTTTCTCTAAAGTAGTAAATAGTGCATTTCTTGACTATCGAATTTTCTTTTTTAAGTTCAAAGTTTAGTTTATCAAAATCTTAAAGCTCGCTAAAATATCTCTGAATAAATAAATGCTAATAAGTATTTTTAATAAAATATGAAACAAGAAGCTAAAAATTAAACAAAAGAAATTACAAGGAAATAAAATTAAATTAATCCTCTTAATGAAATCCAGCAAATTTTTACCTGTTGCTACTGTTTTTATAGCTTTAAAATAACATTACTAAAAACAATATTTAAATATATTTATTAGATAAGTAGAATTTAAATATTTAAATGTTTAACATAAATGCATTCTTTTGCCCTTTCCAGACGGCTTGACCTCTATAACAATTATTTATTGGTTTTGGTAAATTTAAAATCATAATGACTTTAATTTAAAAAAAAAAGTTATAAATTTTGAAATTTTTTAAAGTCATGATTAAAATTAGATTTAATATTTTTAATATAGACTATATTAAATTTTATTAAAATTAATATTGATCGTAAATAATAATAATATTTGGCAAAATACATATTTATTAGACTATATTATTAAAAGTTTTATAACTTTTTAAGATTATAATTTAATTGTTATAAATTTCACAGAGAACAAAGCCTTTTCTTCTTTCAAAAAGGATAACGATTTTCCAGTAATAAACATAAATTGATCTGAAAAATTTCTCTTTGTACATAATTATTAGCACTTTATATAAGTTATATAAACTTTTTCATTATACTTTACATGGATTTTAATATAGTTAAAATTTAAATTTATATTTTAATTATTAAGACAAAAAAAAATCTTTCTTAAAAATATATTGTTGTAACTTGGGTAAAATTAAATTGGAGAAAAAAAATTTTAATATATCTTTAAAAAGGACAGTATTTATTGCTCATTTAGGTAGAGTGAGTAGAAAAATTAAAAAAAAAAAATATTGGCATAAATGTTGTGAGGCTTTTGTTTCTTCAATATTTATGGAACTTGAGTGATAACACAGACAGCCAGTTTCAGATGCATAGCAGATGTAAATTTTCGTTTTATTGCTATTGCTTTCGATAAGAATGTTATTGGGTGGTCTTTGATGCGCGACTTATTGCTGGATTAAAGCTGCACTTGCAGTAAAAAGAGTAGCCATAAAGCAGGTTTACTTGTCCTTCCTTTCCAATCCATAGAAATTCTCTTTAATATCTGAAAATTTATTTTCTACACAAGCAGTAGAAAGATTAATATGCATCACTTACTATTTCACTAGAATCATCATATTAACTAGATTTATTCTTCGAAATCTTTAATAGTAATTAATTAAACGGGACTAAGATTATTACTCTATTAACATAATTACTAGAAAATAACATTTATATCTTATTTTCTCTACTTTAATAAATTTTAAGCCGTTAAAACTAAATAATAACTATCTATATTAAAATTATTATGTCCGATGAATATAAAATGCGACAAAACTTTCGCATTAAATATTTTTATTATTCAAAATAAAAATCTTTTTATTTTATCATTTTCACAATATCTCAATTTTTATTTAAAGTATTTATTTTTTTATTTATAAAAGTTATGAATTTTGTAATCCGTTTTCCCCGTGGTTTGTTTAATATTCAGTAGGGAAAATAGTTTAGTTGTGTGAATTTTGCATTGTGCAATGTCATCCATCAAAAGTTTGAATTTCTTATAAACTTAATGTTCAGCGGTTGTTTATGAATAAAACTCTATCTTTTTTAGTTTGCTCGAAAATATGAGAAATTAAATTAAATTTTAACCAGTAAGGATAGAGTTAGAGAATAACAGACAGGAGCGGTTCTATTTTTTTTTTTTTGTTTTTGTTTTTGAACTCTAGTTAAGTTCAAAAGTTAGAGACAACAAGTTCTATAACATTATTAAGTATTTACATACCTTTAAAATAAAAAAAAAACATTTTAAACAAATATTTTTTATTTTTATTTAATAATAATTTACTGTACATTTTTTTAAAACATAACACTACAGAACGAAAGTACACAATAAACGTTAATTTATACTATAAGAAGTCAAATGATAATTATAAATAAAAATAATTTTTTAGTAATTACAAAATGATTTCTACGTATTAATTTTCAGAAAAATTCTCTAATTACGA